AGAGATGTAGATAGAGTTTTCTAAAAAGACAGAGATATATGTAGAGTTTTTTTTTTAAAGACTGCGATATAGATAGTTTTGTAAAAAGACAGATACAGTGGGGAGAACAAGTATGTTTCCACCTCCATGTTTCATGGTTGGGATGGTGTTCTTGGGGTTGTACTCATCCTTCTTCTTCCTCCAAACACAGCGAGTGGAGTTTAGACCAAAAAGCTATATTTTTGTCTCATCAGACCACATGACCTTCTCCCATTCCTCCTCTGGATCATCCAGATGGTCATTGGCAAACTTCAGACGGGCCTGGACATGCGCTGGCTTGAGCAGGGGGACCTTGCGTGCGCTGCAGGATTTTAATCCATGACGGCGTAGTGTGTTACTAATGGTTTTCTTTGAGACTGTGGTCCCAGCTCTCTTCAGGTCATTGACCAGGTCCTGCCGTGTAGTTCTGGGCTGATCCCTCACCTTCCTCATGATCATTGATGCCCCACGAGGTGAGATCTTGCATGGAGCCCCAGACCGAGGGTGATTGACCGTCATCTTGAACTTCTTCCATTTTCTAATAATTGCGCCAACAGTTGTTGCCTTCTCACCAAGCTGCTTGCCTATTGTCCTGTAGCCCATCCCAGCCTTGTGCAGGTCTACAATTTAAGCCCTGATGTCCTTACACAGCTCTCTGGTCTTGGCCATTGTGGATAGGTTGGAGTCTGTTTGATTGAGTGTGTGGACAGGTGTCTTTTATACAGGTAACGAGTTCAAACAGGTGCAGTTAATACAGATAATGAGTGAAGAACAGGAGGGCTTCTTAAAGAAAAACTAACAGGTCTGTGAGAGCCGGAATTCTTACTGGTTGGTAGGTGATCAAATACTTATGTCATGCAATAAAATGCAAATTAATTATTTAAAAATCATACACTGTGATTTTCTGGATTTTTGTTTTAGATTCCGTCTCTCACAGTTGAAGTGTACCTATGATAAAAATTACAGACCTCTACATGCTTTGTAAGTAGGAAAACCTGCAAAATCGGCAGTGTATCAAATACTTGTTCTCCCCACTGTATATTGATAGAGTTTTCAAAAAATATATAGAGATATAGATAGAGTTTTCTAAATAGACATAGAGACAGAAAGTGTTTCCTAAAAAGACAGAGATACAGATCATTTTCTAAAATACATAGAGATATAGCATTTTCTAAGAAGACATAGAGAAATAGATACGTTTTCTAAAAAGACATAGAGATATAGAATTTTCTAAGAAGACATAGTGATATAGATAGACTTTCCTTAAAATACACGGAGATATAGACAGGGTTTTCTAAAAAGACAAAGATATAGATAGAGTTTTCTATAAAGACAGAGATGTGGATTTGTCTAAAAAGAGATTGAGATATAAATAGTTTTCTAAAACGACAGAGATGTAGATTGAGTTTTCTAAAAAGACAGAGATATAGCTAGAGTTTTCTAAAAAGACATAGAGATATAGATAGTGTTTTCTAAAAAGACAGAGATATAGAAATAGTTTTATAAAAAGACAGAGATATAGATAGTTTTCTAAAAATAAATAGGATATGGATTTTTCTAAAAAGACAGATATATAGATAGAATTTATAAAAAGACAGAGGTATAGATATAGTTTCCTAAAATATATATATATATATATATATATATATATATATATATATATATAGATATATATATATATATATATATATATATATATATATATATGTATATATATATATACATTTAGATAGAGTTTTCTAAAAAGCCATAGAGATGTAGATTTTTCTATAAAGACAGAGATAGTTTTCTAAAAAGACATAGAGATGTAGATTTTCTAAACAGACAGATATATAGATATAGTTTTCTAAAAAAGACAGAGATATAGATATAGTTTTCTAAAAAGACAGAGATATAGATAGAGTTTTCAATAAAGACAGCGATATAGATAGTGTTCTAAAAATACATTTATATATAGAGTTTTCTAAAATGACAGAGATATAGATAGTTTTCTAAAAAGACATAGAGATATAGATAGTTTTCTAAAAAGACAGAGATATAGATAGTTTTCTAAAAAGACATAGAGATATAGATAGTTTTCTAAAAAGACATAGAGATATAGATAGTGTTCTAAAAATACATTTATATATAGAGTTTTCTAAAATGACAGAGATATAGATAGTTTTCTAAAAAGACATAGAGATATAGATAGTTTTCTAAAAAGACAGAGATATAGATAGTTTTCTAAAAAGACATAGAGATATAGATAGTTTTCTAAAAAGACATAGAGATATAGATAGTTTTCTAAAAAGACAGAGATATAGATAGAGTTGTCTAAAAGAGATAGAGAGACAGTACAACAAATAGAGCAGTTAAAATGGCAGTACAGGACAGAGCAGAACAGAGCAGGACAGGACAGAGCAGAACAGAGCAGGACAGAGCAGAACAGAGCAGAACAGGACAGAGCAGGACAGAGCAACAGAGCAGGAAGCAGGACAGAGCAGGAAAAGAGCAAACAGGCGGGCCCG